TTAAGGCAGGGAGCGTAAATTAAATGGGAGAAGAGAAAATATAGGGTAGATAATAATTGAATGAGAAAAGTAAAGTGTGAAGGAGGCGAGCAATGGGTGATGGCAATTAAAAAAAAAGGGTCAGTACTCAGAACAATGGTAATTACAGAGTTAATGCGAGGGAGGGTTTTTGTCTGCAAATTGAGTGGCAACCATATCTCTTGCTATTATTGTTATTTGTTCTTATTATTACTCTCTTTTGCATTTCAGTGAAAAAACAGTACCAAATAATGCACTGTTTTTTCCCACTCTGTTTATCCATTTCTCAGGATTTGGAAATTCAATGCAAAAATCTTACCTTAAAGCTTATATATACAGCCACAGCCCTAATTGAATTAATTCTATATGGTCTTTCTGGCACGTGACAATGCTTGGTCAATGCTAAAAAGGGAGGTGGGGGTAACTCAACTCTTAATTACAAGGCTCTCTTCACTTTTTTTCCCTCTTGGTTTTACTTACCTCAATCCCCAAGGGACAAGACCACACTTCCTCATCATGGATTTGGACCGTTCGAGTTCAATTTTCCACTATTCATCTTGATAAGCGACTATTCACCAAAAAAAAAAAAACACGAGTCTCTATAAAATCGTAAGAATTTCGTCAAGATTGTTTCCCTAAAATTTTTACCCTCAATAACTATAGAAAGTTAAATTTCTAATTCTTATACGTGCACCTATTTAATACTTTTAAGCATTTGTGAGCTTCACACACACATGTATTAATTTGTTTCATGCATGTAAAAACTAAACACTGTTTTACAGTATATTTATATGATTTTATGTTCAATCATCTCAAAAGTTTAAACCTAAACTTAATTCAACGAAATGTTAAAAATATTAAACATCCCTCTTATTTGTAGGCTTGAAAATTTACAAAAGGCCCAACAAGTGGTAATCAAATATTAAATAGGGAGAAAATAATACTGAAGAAGTTCAAATATACACATTCTACTTTAATACCATGTTAAATCATCTAAATCGATGAATTACGATAAATTTAATCTTATATTATAGATAACTTAACATGTATAAAATAATTGACGGGACACGATGATTAAACCTGTCAATGTGTCAAACTCGATAGAGTAGCCAAAAGGATAAAAAATTGATGTGTATTTGGAGATGAGCGTTATGTCTCCCAAAAGGGATATATAGGGCACAATGAGGAAGATGGGGGGAGCCAAGTTACCCGGCACCGTGGAAGAGTGTAGGTCGACCATGAAAAAGTTGGGCATTAGGGTGACATGAACGATCAAAGTTCCATACCCGTTTATTGTAGGGTCATGTCCTAAAAACCCATTGGCCTAGGGGGGTGTGACCATATCGTGGGATTTCAAGTAAAGACGAATAATCTTTGTTCATATGCATGTGTAGATATATATATGTGAATTATTACACTTTATTAATAATTGAAGTATTAGCCATGCACGCATTAAATATCTATGCTTTTGGTTTCATATGGGTGATTTTTTTTTTCTTTATCATAATGTTAAAACAATAAAAAGAACTATTAATCTTCAATAAATTTCATAGAGCAATATTGAAGCTAAAAAATGTGTTATAAATTTTAAATCATATTTTTCTATTATGAATAGATTTAGATTTAATAACTCCAACTTTGATGTCGTATTAAAAGTCATTATTAATTTAGTCTGGTTATGTAGGTGTTAGAAATGTGAACATAATCCTGGAGAGGAGATAAGATGGCAAGGAATTAAAAAAAAAATTGTAAAAGACTTGGAGATAAAACAACAAACAAACATCTTCATGTGGTTGAAATTAAAAAAGAGGAAAAAAAGATGAACTCAAAAATGGAAGAAACCGACCCAAAGCTAAGCAATCCCAATCTTGAAGTTATTTCAAGTGGCACACCACGATTTACCCAAATATTCTCCCACATGCAAGGGATGAGTCAAAAAGCCAAAAGGAAAAAATAATAATAATAATAAAAACTCGTATATATATATTTTTTAATTTATAAAATCCCCCAAATTGCCCCACGAGCAAAAAGCCAAATGGGTGTGAGATGGTGGTGTAAATAAAAGATAAACGCAAATGACTTTCCTCTCATCCAATTATATTCAATGTATTGCATATGGTGAGGCAATCACTTTTTCTAGTGGTGAAATGTATAAAGATAAAATCTCTTTTAATTATATATACATATGATTTTGGTCCGAAATTTTGATTAATCGCTTTCATAGGTTTGAGTTAAAACATATATTTTATATATAATATTAAAATATCATATATTATATATATGTATATAATTAAAATATCTTTTAATTATATACACATATGATATGTGTAGGTAAAAAATATTATATATATATATATATATATATATATATATATATATATAATTGCGAAAATTGAAAGATATTATAGAAAACAACATACCGTTAAAAAAAAAGTAAATTTCAAAAAAATTATATGGTATGTTTGTGTTATCATTTAAGAAAAATACAATATTTGTAATTTTATGTAATTTATTTGAGGATATATAGATATAGGAAGTATAAAAGGTGAGTA